GGCGGGCCTAGGAACGCCCTCTTAGCTCTGATTGGCTCCCGGGAAGTGCGTGGGGCGGAGCAGCGTGTTGGCTCCACCACTCAGAGCCCACACAGAGCGGTAGGACAGCCTCCTAGAGTTTCGCGAAACCTGACCAGCTGTGCAAAGCACCTACTCACTTAACAGTGGGAACTACGAAAGCCTAGATGGCCCTTTTCTACAAGCTGATGACTGGCAAGATGGGGGGCTCAAATCTCCCTGTTTCTCTGCGACTGGACTCGTGTTTTCTCTTGCTAGTATTTTTGTTTCTCGCTAGTTTTTAAAAATGTCTTTACTGACTTCAGAGAGAAGGGATAGGGAGAGAGAAAAACATCAGTGATGAGCGTCACTGACCGGCTCCCTCCTGCACGCCTCCTACGGAATGGAACTGTGACCTCCTGTTTCACAGGTCAACTCAACCACCGAGCCCCGCCAGCTGGGCACTCGCCAGTATTTGTCAATTGGGCAAGGTTTTCCCCTCTGAAAAATCCTGGGGTGTGGAAGAAAGAGAAATTGAGCTTCAGGAAGTCAAAAATGATCAGATGCAAATGGGAACATACTCTGCAACAAGGAAAGTCTTTAACCTTTTAGTTTTGTGATAGGCAGATGGACATGAGCAGAGCAAGGAGGATGGGCCAGGCCATCAGGGTGGGAAGCCCCAGGTGTCTAGCAACTGGTAATTGTAGGGTGGGATCTCACCCCCAGGATGGCTTTCCTTTGCTAGCATATCCTGATCCTGCGGTTTGGACCCCCTGACCTTTCCTCCCTAGAGATTACATCTAGGCTTCGGTTGTATTTCAGGCCCAGAAAAGCAGCAAAACCAGATAGCCGACTCCATGGCTGACCTCAGGACCAGATGCCTTGGACAATGACCCCCTGCCCTGGTCCCCCCCAATCAATCAGTGGAGACCTAGACCCTGAAAGAACACACCTGGAAAGCAGCTGAATATTCTACTGAGACTTTCCCCTGGGACCTCCCCTAAAATCTCCACCCTTAAAACCCATAGGCCTGCGGATGAAGAGTGCTCTCCTCCTCCCAAGCACACTTGCACCTCTCCCTTCCTCCTCCCCTCCCTCCAGTGCCTTACCCTTAGGTTCCTCACTCCCAAGCTCCAAGGGCCCCTCTGTAACTTGTTTCCTAAACCCATTTCTTCTAGGAATTACTTTTCTACCTCAGTGATTTACTAAATAAATGTTTTGGTCTTGGATCTGAATTCTTTCCTAGCCAGAACTCAAGTACAGAGTTTGCTGAACCCAGGTTGGTGTGACCCCACCCAGATATCTGGTGCTTTTCCCCACAGCCTATAGCAGTTTCCTCTTGTGAAATGTTAATACAGTACTAACAACTTCATTTGCTGTAAGGATTATGAAATTTATGTAGCCACACTTTATAAAATACTTAAATTGTTTTTCTCATGTTGCAAAACGAACCAAACTACACAGAACTAGAGATACCATATTTCTAACCTAGCACTCTAAATTATATTGAGACAATGTTTCAGGACTCCAATTTCATTTCTTTACTGGGGTGTCTATCAGTTTCAGTACCAGCAAGTTTTATAATACCCTCATTGATAATTTTTGAGTGTTTAGTACATGCCAGGGTCAGTGCTTTATGCTCTTTATCACATTTACTCCTCAGAAGAGGGCCTTAACAATTTACCTGGCCCAAATGCACAAAATTTTCAGAAAACATCTTGCTATTGGTTAAGATCTCTTTCCACTTAAGCTACCTTTCATTTAGGGTGGTTCTACAGTGACCACAAGCTAGGTGAAAAGGTTAGTTGGGAAAACAGAGTTTGATTTAGTGGTATCTATAGGTATGGTTAAAGTAACTGATAGAGACCCTGTTGTAAGAAATGGCTTCCAGGAATAATCCCAGCACTCCCTTGGGTCCTGACATCAGGGGCAAGATCCAAAAGTCCAATGAAGATAGAATTCTGGCACTGAAACAGAGGCAAGCTGGTCTGTTGCAAAAGTCAAGCAGAGGGCGTTTTGAGAGAGACCATGATCACTAAGGTGGTTTTCCCATTGCACTCTGGATATTTTGACCCCTGTGACTTCCTCAAACGTGGGAAACTTGACTGCATAATTTGTGTAGTGAGGGACTGTGTTTGTGTTCTCAAAAACTAAGAAAAATAATAATTTGAGGCAGGCTAGTAAGCCATGAAAAGCAAAGTAGGGAAACAGACAAATGGCCAAGCAGTTTATAGCCATCTAGTAAATAAAAAAATCCTATCTTCCCTACCAAGGACACTTAGGAGTAAATGGTTACACTTCTCTCCAATCAGGGCACGGTAAGTAGCTTAAATCATCCTACTCAGGGAGATAACAGAAATCCAATTAGTGCCATTTGCCAACCACACCCAAGGATAGATGAAGGGAATAAACCTCACTTTGGTGCATCAGCATAAAGCTGATGAATATTCTATTGAGATTCTCCCCTAATCTCCCATACATTAAAACCCCTCAAAATTCCCTAAAATCAATAGGTAACAAGTATAGTTAACAAGCCTGGCCAGCGTGGCTCAGCGGTTGAGCATCAACCAATGATCCAGGAGATTCAGGTTGGATTCCAGGTCAGGGCACAAGCCCGGGTTTCAGGCTCAATCCCCAGGGGGGATGTGCAGGAGGCAGCAGATCGGTGGCTCTCTCATCACTGATGTGTCTGTATCTCTCTCCTCCTTTTCTCTCTTTGAAATTAATAAAGACATTAAAAAAAAAAAAGTAGTTAACAATAGCTGTAAAACTTTATGATGGTGATTAAATGAGTTTCTCAAATTCCCATTTGTAGGGCATAAGCTGAGAGCAGATAGCATATTCAGCTATCAAAAAAACCTGCTCAAGATGGGATTATCTTCTATTCTACTGAAAACACTATAAAACTGTCATACAGTATGTAGTGAAAAATGTAGCAATTACATAGGTGCATCACACATAAATGGAACTTTGTTGTTCTGATAGGTACACTGCTTATTAAATGGAACTTTGTAGTTGTGTTTATTTCCAATTTTTAGAAACCATGAGCTATTTGCTTGTTTTAAACATTTCTACATCTAATTCACAATTACTTTCCTTAGAGGGCTCCCTAAATTATGAACAACAAAAAATTCAGCATCATTCTGTTTACACCCATGCTATCAGTTCAAAATGAGCTTAAAGGAACCTAGCCAGAACGGATCATTTCATGTATGTGGCTCCCACGTAAACCAGTTTTTGAGAACTGGTAACAGTGAAACAAGAAAGGGCTTAGGATACAACCACCAACAGGAGAGCCTAGGTGGGGCTGTTTTAGCTCTCTAGAAATATTATGGGGAACAAGTGAGCCAAGACAGGGCTGCTGTCAGCTCACTGGAAAGTCAGAGAAAAGCAGGCCTTGGGGACAGGGGTTCAAGGGGTAACCTGGGACCAGCTGTCACTTGCTGCCCATTGCTCCCCTGGTTACAAGTCTCACTGAGTCCCTTCGAGTTTAGGATATGCACACCTATTGGGGGGAAAGAGAGGGAAAGGCGCAGACGTGCTCCCAGGAGGGGACTGTGCACCTCTGGTCAAACTTTCACAAAATGTGTACAAAATATTTTAATCAGCATTAATTAAGATCTCTATACTGAAACCCAAAATGCCTTACTGATCTGGGTGAGTGACCTTAAGGATATCCTAATTGATATACCAAATACCTAGACTTTCAGAACATCAATTATATTATTTACTTCCTTGCTACTCTGGCTCAGCCTGATACTTAGAATCCAGTTTTAAAATTAGAATTTCAGCCCAGCCGGTGTGGCTCAGTGGTTGAGCGACCCATGAACCAGGAGATCACGGTTTGATTCCGGGTCAGGGCACATGCCCAGGTTGCAGGCTCAATCCCCAGTAGGGGGCATGTAGGAAGCAGCTGATCAATGACTCTCATCATTGATGTTTCTCTCTCCCCCTTCCTCTCTCAGAAATCAATCAAGACAGATTAAAAAAAAAAAAAAAAAATTAGGCCTCAAGACAAAGAAAAAGCTGACCAATAGGATATGAGAATACAATGCTAATTCCATATATTAGCCTCAGTATTTCAGCATTTGCTCTCCTGGAGCCCTCTCCTGTTTCCTCAGGATAGAAGATGTGCACCAGAGCAAGTACCTTTGGACCCAGAAATGGAAACTACCCGAGCATGGTAGAATTGCTTACTTTTGGAATGCTACCCTGAAGAAAATTAAAGCTGTTTTACTTAGGCCAACAATTTTCAACTGGTGTGCTGCCAAGAATTCTTAAAACATGTAATACCTATTTAATCAGGGGGCACTGACCTCGTTTTCCATAGATTGTCAAATTTAGATATGACAACAGCCTACACAACAATAGCTGTCTGATGGGAATGCCTTGCCTTTAACCATAAATATATAGGTCGAATAATACAGTTGCATTTATTGGCCATGTTGCATAATAAGGTTGCATCTAATTGGTTAATTCTTGGTACCAGGCATCCTCATACACAAGTATAGGCACCTGATTTTTTAAAGTGTTATTTTGGAGCAAGAAGGGCAGGTAATTACTATTATTTTCTTTTTGTAGATCAATAAAAATCATACCTATTTTGTGAGATTGGCAAAAAATACATTTTTTGGTGTGCCACAGAATTTAGTAATAGTTTATGTGTGCCATGAGATAAAAAAGGTTGAAAATTGCTGAGTTAGGGCTAATGTGTTTTTGTGGGTTCTTATTAATAGCACTTTATAATTTGAAGTCTACTTTGCCAGTAAATAACTTAAGAGGAGCGCTGGAGACAAAAAAATTGAACATATGCTGGGGGGGAAAAGGGGGATTGGGGAGTCAATATCCAGTTTGAAACCATACTTTATTTTTAATAATGTAGCTAGAAATAACGAATAACTATGTATTTTTAAGCAGGAAAACCCCCCCACCTCCTTTACCTTTCCTGCTTACAGTACTATTAGCACAAAAAAAGAACATTTCTGCTTATAAATGATACTGAGTTTCTATGAAAATGAATGTATTTTTTATTTGTGGAACTTAAAACTCTAAAAGCACAGAACACGTTTTCAGAAGACCCATTTTACTTTTACCCATTCATGGTCAGTATTTGCAACGTTAGAATGTGCTCAGGTGACGTAGAGCTGAGCAATCAAATCACATACAACTGGAATTCCAAAGCAACCGATCTTCTTGAGTTCACAGCATACACTGCAAACTCTGGGAAAGGCGCACACACACTTAACAAAAAGAACACTGGCAAGCTCAAATGCTAGTTTATATGCCGAGTATTTCTAAAGGGTGTAAAAAGCATGCTCAGTTAGCATACGGCTTTTTCTCACTTATGTAACAGATGCATTTCTATCGGCTCGCGTACAGCAAAGGGTTAGAATCTGAATCAACGTATGATTTCAGATATGTGCTATTTCAGAAATGTATTCCATGGAATTTACCTTACTGTTCCTACCACTGATTCTTCAACTAAGCCAAGTACACAGGGCCTCACCCCTTGAAACTGCTTTTAAACACTAGCATTTTAATTGAAAGACAGGTAGAAACCCAGAAATTCCTGGTAGTGTCTGGACTTGGTCTAAATATAGGAATTCAATATACAAGAGAAAACAATTTTCTTTATCCTTGGAGAGGGAAAAAGAGGTGAAAATATAGCTGCAGTATTTAAGAGCTGATGAGAACAATACATCTTTTATAATACCAGTAACCCTACAATAAAGAACCACCATGGATCTCATCAATTTTATAATTCATGCTGGATCAAGAATTTAGGTTCTCCTCTATGTATCTCAATTAATTCAAACCTCATACTCTCTCCAAAATACAAAGATAAACTCAATTGCTATTTCCTAAGTAGAAGACCAAACACCAAAGGGAATCCTTCCTTCCAACATTTTTTGATATAAGATTTCACCAAAATAGAAATCTAATACTTAAATATGAAATCTCCTGGCCAAGAAGGAAACTACAGCTGTTATGGGTACTACCCTACGTAGTCAATCACTGTATGCATTACATATTAAATTAAACCCAGCATTGAGTATGCTTAAGCAATTATGCTGTGAATTTCTCACTAGCAGCAATGACGCTAGTGAAAAAGGACTATCTGTAGCCAAAGAAGGGGAAAAAGGTAAAAACAAATTGAAAGCTGACAAAGAGTGGGTATTTTCTAACCACAACAGGTAATTTTAAACATAGAAATACAAAAAGAAAAGTATTCCCTATTTCCCCTATGTGGAAATAACATGAAACATTTATTTTATATATCAGACAAGAACAGAGCTAAGTAATCCAACTCTACTCCAGCATTATAAAAATCATCCCTTCACCACAGTGTAAGATTTAAATGCATCTGTACAAGGGTACGTGTTATACAAAATCTAAGACTGCAGCTGCCCTGTCTCATACTTCCAGTCCCTACCCACGTCCTACTGCTCTACTGGTAGTCCCTATTAGTTCAAAATAAATCATTTTTTAAAAAACAAAGCATTTACGAAGATAAATCAAAATGGGTATTTAACCACACAATATGTGGTTACTGAGGTAACCATATATCCAACTCAAACTTTATCTATTTAAATATTTGCTTCCCACTAATAAACCTTTATTTCACTCAAACTGAGCAATAAATCTTCCATACTTAAGTATCTTTGCCCAATTAATTCAAAGGAAAACACCAAAATTATTAGTAAAGAAAAATGTAGGGTTTAACACACCCTTTTAATTTGTTTTTAAATATCTTTAAGGTTTAAAGTGTTTAAACGTTATAATTCCTAGTAGGAAAACATTATCTGAACAAATACCATAATGGCAAACCACTGTAAAATGTTACAGCTGCATTTGGGGCAGAGGGGTAGGGATTCTCTTCAAAGCACCCCAGCTTTCTTCACGAGAAGGTCAGAGGTACACTGGTTTGTATTATTGCGACATCCATTGGGTGATCCAAGTTGTTTTTCCTTCAGCAAGGGTTTTATTTGTCAGAAGGGCATTACGCTTGACCTCCAAATTTGGCTGACAATTTACTGATGAGATTCATAACCTTTGGGTTGCTCTGATATTTTGACATGTTTGCTGGGTTCTGAGCCACATCCTGGAAGGCCACCATAACTTCTGGATCCTGCAAAGAAAGCATTTAAAAATTCTATGGGTCACCAAGCTTATTATCTTAAATCCTATCTATTTATTTAGACCTATAATTTTATCATGGTCAAATTACTGAGGATTTGGACAAGTCCCTGAAATATAAATTATTATTAATGCCCCCTTCAAAGTCAAACTCAAGTCACTTTAACTAATGAAAAAAAGCATATACAATCTTTTTTTTTTTTAAGATTTTTATTTTTTTATTATTTTCAATATATCTTTATTGACTTCAGAGAGAGGAAAGGAGAGGGAGAGAGAGATAGAAACATCAATGATGAGAGAGTCATTGATCAAGCCCACAACCTGGGCATGTGCCCCGACCGGGAATTGAACCTCGATCGCCTGGATCCCAGGTCAATGCTCAACCGCTGAGCCACGCCCAGCTGGGCTACAATCTTGATATAAAGAAAAGGAAAACTGCCCTGCCGGGCATCGCTCAGCGGTTGAGCATCGACCTAGGATCCAGGCCATCAGGGTTCGATTCCCGGTCGGGGCACATGCCTGGGTTGTGGGCTCGATCAATGACTCTCTAATCATTGATGTTTCTGTCTCTCTCTCTTCCTCTCTCTGAAACCAATAAAGATATAAAAAATATAAAACAATTTAAAAAAATTTAAGCACCCTGCCCTGGCCCGTTTGGCTCAGTGGTTAGAGCATGAGCCCTTGGATTGAAGGGTCCAGGGTTTGATTCTGGCGAAGGGCACATATTTCGGTTGCAGGACTGTGCCTGGCCCCAGTCAACCAATCGATGTGTCTATCTCACATCGATGTTTCTGTTTCTCTCCCCGCCCCTACACTCTCTCTGAAAAGTAATGGAAAAAATATCCTCAGGTGAGGATTAAAAATATATATATAAGTGCCCTGGCCAGTATGGCTTGGTTGGGCGTCATCCGGTGCACCAGAAGGTTGCTGGTTCAATTCCCAGGCAGGGTACCTGCCAGGGTTGAGGGCTCAATCCCCAGTATGGACCATGCAGGAAGCAGCCAACTGATGTTTCTCTCTCTCTCAAAATCAATAAAAAATCTTAAAAAAAAAAAATTAAGCTCATTCTGGAAAAAAAAAAAAAAAGAGTATCACACGTGCAGAGTTAGCTACTTGGTAATTCAGATCAATAAAACTTGGCTGACAGAGTAACCTTTGTCCCCACACAGAATTATGAAAGAAATGCCTTAGCAGTACTAGTAAAGTTCCACTCTGTTTTTCTAAGTCTCACCTGCATGGCTGCAAGAACCTCTGGATCACTAAGGATTTCATTGAGCCCAGGCATTCCTGCCATTCCAGGCATGCCTCCTCCCATTCCAGGCATTCCTCCAGGAAAATTACCAGGCATTCCCCCAGGAAAGCCACCTACAAAAATAAATGAAAAAAACTGTATAGACATCAACCAAATTCCCAAGTAATCCAATAGTACACTATTTTCTACTACAGATGAAAAAGGAGATATATAGAAAGTAACTTCACAGGGTGATCCGATCATAAATTACTAACTGGGCAGGTCATAGTGGGTAGTTAGGTCCCAGGTTTATAACTTCTTTAGTAAAAGGTTTATCTTTACCTTAAGCCAGCCCTGTCCATTATTTTTGTGCATCTAGGTTAACACACCTTTGAAACTAGTAACCACCCTCAAGAGAGCACATAATCTTGTTAACTCTCCTGTAATCCAATCCCCACCTTGCTTTTCCCCAACTTCATGTAATGTGCGGTATGTTTCTCCTTAATTTCATAGGAGAAATTGTAAAACTGTTATTCTCCAAAGCATCTGAGACATTGCTTCCCAGCAACTGTCATTAGTTTTGGCTCAAATAAACTCTTAAAAAAATCCATGAACATATCCTTAGGTAAGGATAAAAAACACACACAACAACTTCTTTACAGGTCTGGATGTTTCTTGCATCAACACTACTCATTAAAATAACACACATACATGCACAAAGAAAAAGGGTACTATGCTATTAAACAAAACAGTCTGAACATTCTAACGATGTAACAAGATACAATTTTTACCTTCAAACTTTCTCTTAAAAAACAAGGCTATAAATCAAAGTGTGCTACCTTCTTGATTCATTTTTTACCCTAGCAACAACACTCTTAAAAAAAGAAAACTAATCTTACCTTAAAATAAAAAGCTAACAGTCCCTTGGAATTACAGAATTTAATATTATTTGTTTTAATTTAAAGTTAATTCATAAGAGTTTAGTTGTTCTTTATCAAAAAACCCCAAAACTATATTCCTCTAGAGCAGTTATTCCTTCAAGAACTACACAGAATGCTTGTTATAAAAAGCTGTCCACGCTAGACAGAATCAAAATTTCTGAAAGTGAAACTGAAAATCTGCATTTTTAACAAGCACTCCTGGTGTTTCTTTACACTGAGAACAATGCTGTAGCAAAAAGGATTTCATTCTCCTAGTATACGCCAAAATTATTTTCTACTCAGTTTCTCACTATCTTTATGTCCACTGGAAGTATTCTGAAATAACAATTATACCAATATAATTCTATAGGGAAATACAGGTAACAATGTATTCTACAAATCAGGGGTCAATGTAATAAAACCAAAAAAGGGGGCAGAAATATGGACTACAAAGTCATTACCACCTGGCTCAATAATTTAAACATGCCCAGTAAGTAACTAACAATCACAGATAAGGAGATCTAAGCAATCTAAAAACTTCTAGTTTCTCTTGCTGCTCCTGACTGAAAAACTAGTTTATACCCATAAAAAATTACTGACCCAATTCAGTAAGTTAGCCAAACTGCTTGTCAAATCTAGATAATAAAAACTATGTAAAAAAAAATTATCTCTACAACTAGTCTACATTAGTAGTCATTTTCTAAAACAAAGGTACCTGACATAAGATCATTCATATTATAAATAGGAAGTAAGCTATGAACTAAAATTTTCTTGCCTTTTCAAACTACAAGTCATCTCTAATATATATTCTCCCTTTTTAGTTGCTTGGCACATGATCTTTCAAAATAGAGGCTATGTTTTTTAGCCATGGCATAGAAGCATAAGCGGTCTATAGCTGCCTCTATAAACCCTATAGAGAAAGCTGGTTACTATTAAACAGCTGATTCCCCATTACAATAATTAACTTGAAAAAAATATCTTCCCGGTTTTTATATAAATTTCATACTGCCTCATTCAGGAAGTATTCATTCATTCTGAGTGCCCTTTTAACTGCTCTTCTACCTGTATTATATAGGTCTATGGTATCATTCAAGGCTTTGCCTCGCTAGTAATTCAGATCACTTGACATTTACAGGAAAGGGAAGAGTGTGTATTATTTTTACACTGGACTTAAAGCATTTTTTGTGCCTCATAATTTCATACAGCACTTTTACCTACTATCTCATGAGTATTAATAGACAAAATTCCATTACAGATATTTAGAAATACTTTGAATCCATCACAACCAATTCCTGTAGTCTTTTAATAAAGATACAATGCTTGGGCCTCAATAAATGCCAGGTATTTTTAAAAGGTATACTGCTCAAAGTGTTAGGAAAATAACAGTCTTTCCACTAACATAAAATTTTTATTAGAATGAAACTTTCTAGAGGCTAACATTCTAGATTCTTCAGTGTCCTAGGGACTAAGGGTATTAAATATAATAAATGTATCAGAGCCCTCAAATCAGAATATTCTCCAATTATTTACAATACCAATAGGTTTAATTTTTATTTTAAAATACCTGGAAAAGAGCCATACTGAGCTCCTCCTGATTGTCGTCTGGCTTCTTCCTCCTTTAATAGAAAAAATAAATTATGTAACAGAGGGGCAAAGTCCTGCTCCCCACCCCTACCCTATCCACGCAGAATCATGGAAAAAATTGTAAAATAACGTAGTTATATGACTTAAAAGAATGAAAAACTTCAAATGGAAAGAATGGACTAAAGGATGCACCCCATTACAACCACCCCCAAATTTCCAATTGGATTTCTCAATAAGCATTACTTTTGATAATGATTCTAAGTAGTGTTTTACTTCTACTTTGGAAAGGAAAAAAAACCTGGAAAGCAATTTATAATAGTTATGTCTGTCCATGCTCATAAAAACTAAATTATTATTTTTAAATTCCAAAATAAAAGCACATGGTTAGATTACTAAAACTCCCATGACCTTTGTTTCCCAAGTTCACCTTTTCCATACTCTCCTTACGTAACTAAACAACAAATACAACTAGAGATTTACTGACTTTGTTTTTGTTGTTTTCTTAAACATAAAGTAAATGGAAATATACCTAAACTTCCCTCATAACCAGCTATAAAGTCACCAGGAGATATATAAATGTAAAAATTACTTTTGAAGATTATAAACTATAATCCCCAAAATCAAGCATAATGCTTAAAAATATAAAGTGACAAAAATTAGGATGTAATGCTATATAATTATAATATAACTTTATGTCCTTTTATTCAACAATATTAAAAATAAGTAGATAAAATTGATGGCATTAATACAAAAAGGCTAATGTAGGAAAAAAACAGAAGAAATCTTAATAGCAGCAACAATATTGTAGATAAATTATGGATAACTTTTTTTTTCTTCAAGATTATATATATTATGACTTTGTTAACTAAATATAAGTTGGTGAAATATAAACTCACTTAAGAATTTAAAGACTAAAAGTATCCCTACAAATTAAGTAGGAAAGAGAAAGAAAACTCCCTCTATCATTATCCCTCAAGAACTAGAATATCCTAAAAGATCTCATCTACTATGTTTCCCTTTAATGGTTTAGCTATAGACACTTTACCCTCTGGGCTCGCTCATGTTCTTCCCGAGCCTTCTTAACCCTTTCCATTCTTTCTTTGATCTCTCGCTCTTCCCGCTTCCGCTCATACTTTCTCCGATGTTCTGCAATTTTCTGGGCCTAGGAAAAAAGGACCACAGAAAAATGTTGTAAGAGTTGAATAAAGCCAATTCATATCTACAGTTTTGTTAAAGAACTACTTTCCTTTGTGGAGAGGTGTTTAAGACATAGTTATGAATAATGACAGATTTACCTGATAGAAAAAGACCAGAGGTAACTCAGGCTTTACAAATCCACTGTGAAATAGAGGAAAGAGGCTAGGATTTGAAGTTAGAAGTGTTATAAATCTCAAACAATTAACTGGGGCAAGGAAGACAATTAGGTTTCAAATTGCACGGCAATTCTTGTCTGGTACCTGCCATGGGAAGGAAGAAACTGGGAACACATATACCAGTTATTTGCCAGCCTAACTATATGTAACTTTCCTCATCCGTAAAATGAGGGATTGGGGAGGAGAAACATGTAAGTCTTACAGAAATGCTATAAGAACTAAGAAAGAAAATATGTATACCAGGCACTAGGACATTGTTCATGACAAGTACGTGGAATCTATTACTTATTCAAAGAATAAATTAAATGATTCATATTCAACCATTACATTAGCTTATTTGTGATTTTTAAGAACCTCATATTCTAGAATATCTCACAATAACCTTGCTGAGTTAGCTCTCTTATGAGAAAAAAAAATAAAAGTCTCTCACATTAGTAGCTAAGTTAAATTAAATTTGCACTACCTTAAAACCTTCGGGAATAAATTCTTGGCAGTATAACTTCCCACAAAGCTCAAGGATTTACCATGTGAATGCATTAAAATTAATTTAATTAACAGTTTTAGATAGAAATTACCTTGAAACAATATTCTAGCTTTTGGATTCAATATTACCACTTTAAAAGGCTGAACTTGTTAACTATCACAGGCTCCTCATGTTTATACTGTGGCTATATATATACCTACGATAAATAAGGACAGGTCAAACTCAGTCTTGGCTCGCATTTTATAGATCTTCCATTTGTCCCCCTTTTCATTTCTTTTTCATTGTAATTCTATTGAAGGCGTGCAAACAAAGTAATGGAGCTTGCTATAATACAGCATGAAAAATGAAAGCATGAAAACCAAATGAGATTTCCTGAGTTGAGCACAAACTTCAGTGATTACAGATGAAACTTTCAAAGGGTTGTTTCTTTGAACCTATTTTGCAGATAATTTACTAATGGGGGCTAAGTACTAGAGCCATGGAGCATTACAGCAATGACTTCCCCTTTCTCTACTTTAACATACCCTTGGTTGAACTTCTTTCAGCATTGCACTAGCATCTTCATCATAATCCAATTTACATGCAAGGGCAAGATCATGGGCTGCTTCTTCCCAATGGCCCAGAAGTCTGAAACAGATTTAAACTCATTTTAGAGTCTTTCATACATATTCACTTATGTAGTTTGGTGTCTTTGTTCCTTATTATAAAAAAGGATTATTATAGAAGGGGGTGAAGTTAAATATTGAACCAAAAATTATCATGAACCAATTCAATTACTATGTTCTACTTTATAAAACTTTGAAGAAGTTTAAATTTCCTTTATGGCTAACTTTAAACCTATTCTTCTACTAAAAAATGTCTAAAACCTTAGTTGACTTCTTGCCCTCCTGGTGTGCCACAGCTGGTTGAGCATCATCCCCTGCAACAAGAGGTCTCTGGTTTGATTTCCTGTCAGGGCACATGCCTGGGTTTTGGACTCGATCCCTGCAGGGGATGCGCAGGAGGCAGCCAATTGATGCTTCTCTCTCCCCGCTCCCTCTCTCTCTAAAAAAATCAATAAAAACGTATTTATAAAATAATAATTCAAGTAATTTAAAATGGCATTATGACAGTATATCTTCAGTGGGATATAGATAAAAACTGCAACAAAAAAACCTTTAAACTTTACTTAAAGATATTATCTCCAAGGTATGACTCTGAAAATTTTATGTATATGGTAGGATAACACAAGTAGGTAAATATATTAGGGGCAAAGATTTTATCTTGAGGTAATAGTGTCAAAAATACAAAAAACATTTAATGTTGCGTTTTAATCAAAAGTATCAGTATAAACTAAAAAGTTCATAAAATTATTATTTTAAAAATGTTTTTTCTGATTTTGTCCACTGAAATGACAGAAGGCTATTACGGAAGTAATAAACACATCTAGTGGCCCAACTTTAGTTTCGATAAATATAATCCCCACTAAAATTAACTATGGTTTCTTGGAGAAAATGGTTTACTTCCAAGTCTAGGACAGGCAAATTACAAGATGAGTCCATTCTATGTTCTACTAGAAGACAAGAAAATGCTCAAATACTACTGGGGCCTCAAGAGGATCAATGGCAATGCATGAGCTTTCCTGTACCAACAGAGCATTAGTAAATTTCATTCCAACCTTTTAACTGTATCACTGACACGTGTCTTAATAATCACTAGAGCTACTTTTTTTTTGAGTCACTTAAACACAGTTGGCCCAAGTATAATCATCTTCACCTCCACCCACACTTGAAGTACAGCACTTGTTCATTCCACGTAAGATGTCAATGCCATTGGATATTTCATCTCCAAGCCACAAATACCCATTTGTACAACAATGTTTTGCTTCCAGGAATGATTACTAATCTGGGCTAAATTCACCTCTTTATTTGCCCCTTTTTCTGATTTTTCAGATGACTTAGCATTGACTGAAGTAGTTGGAGGCTAGTGAATTCCTTCTTCTACAATATATTGGTTGTTTAATGTTAAGTTGCAAAGAGAAAATCTGAAAATAAGAGAAAATTTGTAAGGATACTGACACAAAGTGAGGAATAGAGTGAAGAAATAAAATGGGGTCACTATGGTCAAGCTTTCAAATTATTAACTTTAAGTGGGTTGAGGCATAAGGAAATGATTATTTTTGTTTTAACCAACTCCAGGAACTTAAACTTTTAAACTTTCCAGTCTTGCATCAATACCCAGATGTACATCAATGCATTGTGTGTCAATGCCTGGACATACATGAAACCTTCAGAATGACCTCAGATGAAAATGTTTCATTGTTCAGACCACAGGACATCTGATGATGACAGTCTTGGACCAACCTGTGGGCTAAGAATGCAGAACCGATTCTTCTCAAGAATGTAACGTTCTACTTGAGAATCCTCAGCTTTTCTTTTTTCTTCAGAATACTCTGGGTATTGCTTAGCTGTATTTCTAGTTTGTGAAGCCCCTAAGACCCTGATAAATCTTTGTCATTTATTTCCAGACAAAGTCCCGACTGTGAGTTTGGTAGACAAAGGCAACTCTCTTTTCCCGGAGATAATTTTGAGAAAAATCCTTACCATAAATTTGGATATATGTGATAAAAAACTGTAACAGTGGCTTTCTTTGAACAAAAGGAGTGAATTTTTATTTTCTTATTTGTTCCTTATGGTATTCTCTCAATTTTTCATATGGCGTACACACAATTATTACTTAGAAATTAAATCTTTAGGCAATTTTGGTTTTTAGAAAAGCATGTTCAAAAACATCAGATTTCAATAAAGAGTTGTGAAAATAAATAAATTCCATTACTTACCTGTGTGCTTTCCCTCGCCACTTGTAAGGCTGAGCTGAATCAGGATTTATTTCAATAGCTCTGTCACAGTCTCGGATGGCAGCATTTGGCTTCTGTAATTTGATGAAGACACTAAAAAATAAGTGTGGTATTAAAAAGTATTCATTTAAAACAACACCAACTTTGGGACTGCTACAGAAGCAAGTCTATTTAAATAAATGATGGGAAATTATTCACCAGGGGATGCTATTTTGTTTAGCGTTCTCACCTGGCTCTCTTGGCATACAGAATGGCCAAGCGAGGATTCAGCTTGATGGCATCTGTGAACAAGTCAATGGCTTTCTGTAGTTCACCTAAAGTGAAAAAAAAGTTATTGAGAAATAGCCAGAGGATAAAAAATATTAAGTTCGGGTCATTGGGGAGAAAAAGGGACATCTGTAATATTTTAAACAACAACAAAAAAAAATTAAGAAAAAGAAAGAAAAATTGTTGGTCTCTTGTCCAGTTAGTCTTTCACATTCTTTACTTTTTAAAAAAATATATCTTTATTGATTTTAGAGAAAGGACGGGAGTGGGGGAGAGAAACATCAATGATGAGAGTTACTGATTGGCTGCCTTCTGCATGACCCCCCACTGAGGATCAAGTCGGCAACCCGGGCACATGCCCTGCCCGGGAATTGAACCTCAATCTCTTGGATGAGAGGTTGATGCTCAACGGCTGAGCCACGCCAGCCAGGCAGTCTTTTACATTTTTTATTTAGATCAGGAAAAAAAAGGACTAGTTTCTAAAATAACATACAAAGCTAGCTCTAAAAGCAAACCTTTGGGGAGAAAAAGGGACATCTGTAATATTTTAAAAAATAAAATTTAAAAATTAAAAAAAAAAAAAGCGAAACTTTACCAAACTTATACTGTAAATCACTCAAGACAGAGACAGTATCACTCTCTCAGGACTCACATTAATTTTAATTAAGAAAAAATGGATGGGTGGAATGGGTCATTGGGGAGAAAAAGGGAAATCTGTAATATTTTAAAAATAAACACACACACAAAAAAGGATACAATTTAAAGAATAAATCAATTTTATTCCATTAAAATTTTTTATCCATTAAGTTAAAAGGATAAAATTAAATTTAATAAAAAAAGTATTCCTACTATATTCAAGGGGCTCATGAAAAAATTATTTTTGAAAAGGATTATTTTAATTCATAGGAATGATAAAAATTCAAGAAAACTAGAACTTGTTGAAGAGCACAACCCACATTATTGTATCTATTCACAGAGTTAGCTTCTTTGTTTATTAGTCCCTTTAGTGAAGTCGTTCAACAAATAAAACAGACTATAGAATTAGAACAGTTCTTTGCATAAAGTCTAATTTACTTGGACATAGGAAACACAGGAACTCAAGATACAGACAGAATTTCAAAGTAAAGGCCACAATTCACTTTGAAAATTTATTTATCCAGTTAGTAAATGTGTAAAGGACCTAATAGAACTCATGAAACAATGCGGAACAATGTTCAGTCTTACTAGTTACTACGGATGTCTATTACAACTTACTTACTCTGGGATGTCTAACAAGCAACTCAAACCTACCATGTTCAAAACTAAATCTTAATTCCTACCCCATCTCCAAATCTATTCACCCCATCCCTATCCCTAATATTCCTGATTAAATAAATGCTTCTTCCATTTAGTCTAAGAGGTTGGCAAACTTTCCTGCAAAGGGCCATATAATAATATATTAGGCTTTGTGGACCTTAACAATCATAGCTATTTAACCCTCCTGTTGTAGTGGGAAAGCAGTTATAAACAATACATAAATGAATGGGTAAGGCTACGTTCCATTAAATTTTTACCAAAATAGGAGGCAATAGCTTGGCAATTACAGACATTTCTCATTTTATTGTGCTTCATAGATGTTGAGTTTTTTACAAATTGAGGGCAAGACTCTCCATTAGCAAAAAGATTACACCTCACTTTATTTCTTCATTGCAGTGGCCTGGAATCCAACCCACAATATCTCCAAAGTATGCCTATATTAATCTATATCAAGTCCAAAACCTTGGAGTCATTTTTGACTCCCCAATCTAAAACCTAAATGGTCTTATCTCTACTTTCAAAATATATCCAGAACCTAACCAACCACTCTTTATTTATCACCCTAGTCCCAAGATTTCCTGTGCACCAATGGGTCACAGGACAGTTTGTTAGCAAACTACTGGCTCGACATGGTTCAGTTTCAACACTGGATCAATCACTAAATTCCTTTTGGTATCTTTGAAAAACTGTTTCTTCATAGTTGCTATGATAAAAATTAAGAACTGAAGAAAAACAGATGTGAATAGGGTGGCAGTGTCCAATCTGATTCCAAGATTTGAGAAGCTGTTTAGTGCCCAACCTATATACTCAGCTTATTGGAAAACAAACACAGTTAAGAATAAAATTAAATATACTTTTCTTAAATTTGTATAAATTATTTTTTCAAATAATCAGTAACTTGTTAGGACATAGATACTTATTAAATTGTTTAGACTTAAAGCTATATTATAAATGAAATGCTAAATGCAAATTTTTTGGCATAGGAGTGCTGTGAAAAAGACAAGACACTAAGGGCACTGTAAACAGAGAGGGTTTGGGAACCTTTGCCCTAATCCAAGCCACCATCATTAGCCACCTCAACTACAACAATAAGATTCAATTTCTTCCTTTCCCTCTGTGGGGGTCATAAAAATGCACCTTAGAACTGTTGTGGGAAGCGTAAATGATTGAGCACCCCATCTTCTGCGCTCAAGCATATACTTCATAAGCTATTCCCAGTTAATGACTGAATAAAGCAGATACCAAGGCAGGCCCATTCTTGTGAAATGTGCAACCCCTCTAATGGGCAATTTTGGCTTCCTAATACTTTTTTAGAAACACACCCATAGCTGAAGACTTTTCCCACACAACCTTCCTTCCGTCTCCCACACAGGGTGAGACCTACACGATCATCTCACTACCTTCCCAGACTCCTCTGGCTCCCTCTGGTCCCCCATTTCCCCTCACAGGTTATTTTCCTAATATACTTCTGGCACATCGACTCATGTTTTAGCTTTTACTTCTCCAATGAACTAACACATCCTTACTTGCCCATCAAATCTGATGTACATAAACTAGCAAGAATAATCCTTTTCAAAAGCAAATCCAAAATAACAAAACAAACGAAGAATAAAATAAAATGAAATAAAAACAAAAAAACAAGACAAAAGCAAATTCAAGTCACTACAAAACTCCCCTAGTCAAACCCTTCAACGGCTTCCTGTTACGCTTAAGGACAAGTCCTGGGTCCACAGCATGGGCTACACGGTCAGAGACCTGTCCACCCTCCTCACAGCGCCCTCCCCCACCTTCTCGCCTCTCAGGCACGCTTTTTACCTTAATTCTACCACTTAGCCCTTCACTCACCACACTCCAGCTACACTGGCCTTTCTGCTACTATCTATGTAACTACTACACATGCCTCGTGGTTAGGCTCTGTACTCGCTCTTCTGTCTCGAAAACCCTTTTTCACCTGCCTTGCTCTCTTCACAGTGCCAAACAGCCCTATTTAATACACAACTTCCATCACGGACTATTCCTTTACTCAGCTCTACTTTTCTTCGCTGCACTTATCATCACCTGCACCTGTTACTTTTTGTTCCCCAGTAGTATGTGAGGTTCATGAGGTAAAGAACTTGGGACTGTTTTATTTCCCACTATATATCCAGCATTTAAAATACTGCTTGGAGCATGGTAAGCCTTCAATAGATACTTGAATAAATACACTAAACTGAAAAAGCATAATAAAAATACTACTAATAACGTAACTGCTGGAAACACCAAGGTCTTACTTAACGAGAATACATGGTGCTATTCTAAGCATATCTCACACGTTTACTCCTTTACTCCCCATGACTTACTAGGTAGGTACTCTTATTCTTATTTTACAAAGGAGAAAACAAACGGGCGAAGAGTCACTTCTCCCAAGTTTACCTAGCGAGTAACTGCCAAAGCTGGGATTCAAACCCAAGCACTGTGGTTCCGTAAGTCCACTGTTTAACTATATTCCTGACTCTCCAAACCCAGGTGGGGTCTAAACCTACAATTCTTAACTTAGAATACTAGTATTTTATCCCTTTAGAATATACTATAAAATTGTACATATTCTAAAATTAGAACTAGATTAAATTTACAAACAAACATAGCTTGGAAGCAAATATGGAAAAACAAGAACATGACTTTAGGTGGTGGCAGCTTTATTTTCATTTTATTAAATATTGCTAAGTCAATAAGAAAATGAATTTTTAAAAATAAAGACAGTAAGCCAAAATAAGTGACATAATAAATGAGTCGACAATATGATACACTAAGATCCTGGGCAAGTCAAAACCTCTCTGAGCCTCAGGTTACTCATTAATCTGTAAAATGGGAGTACTATAAGGTTTTAATAAATAATATACATTAAAACATAATAAAACTGCCAAGCATGTAGAAAGCACCAAATAAATGTTGGGTACATAGAAATCTTATGTGGTAGGGAAATTTTAAAAAATTATAGTGTGGAAAAGGAACACTCAGGAAGAGAAGTGGCTGGTGTCCATGGATTAGTATGAATTAAAAGCTGAAATAGCCTGGCTGGCATGGCTCAGCACTTGAGCATCGACCTACAATCCAAGAGACCACTGTTGGATCCCCCAGTCTCAGGGCACATACCCAGGTTGTGGGCTAGATCCTCAGTCGGGGGCGTGCAGGGGGCAGCTGATCAATGACTCTCTCTCCCCCCTCTCCCTTCCTCTCTGAAATCAATAAAAACTTTTTTTTTTTTTTTTAAATGAAACAGAGAAACAGTAGAGCACAAGTAAAAAACATTGTACGAGAGCAAGGTCTAGCTGGAATGGAAGGTTAATACTCAAAAAGAAGAGAACAAGGCTGGGAAGGCAAAATATGGGGTCTGACTCTAGCAGGTCTAATGTTATGATGAAGATCTTCAGAATATATGCAAAAAACTAGTCGCAGGTTATAAGCAAGGGAGTGTGTTTAACAATAAAAAGCAGTTCTAGGCCCTGGCCAGATAGCTCAGTTGGTTAGAGCGTCATCCCAATATGCCAAGGTTGCAGGTTCAGTCTCTGGTCAGGGCACATACAAGAATCAACCAATGATGCATAAATAAATAGAACAACAACAAATCAATGTTTCTCTCTAAAATCAATAAAAAACAAAAACAAAAACTGTTCTAAATAAGAATAATCAATACAGGAAACAGGTATTTCAGGTAGGCCAAGTATTAAGACAATTGCAATAGTATAAATATAAGAACCTAAGCTAAGAAGGTGGTGGGATTACAAAAAAAATGGAGGTAAATATAGTGCTTGCCAACTTGAAACAGCAATCAATACTAATCTCTTTTGAAAATAAAACTAAGTTATCTTCGAAGCTTATGGATGAAGTCCAAATGCACACCAGCATCTTTCAACAATGGCATTGTGACACACTACCACACAGCTATGAAGGGATGTGCATAGTACTCAAGCTAATGAATGACTTTTCTTATAAAAAATGTAACTGATTAACAATATACTGAACACTATCAGCACTCTCCCACTCTGATAGGATTTTTTGAAGGGGATCTAACATGCAGACTACAACAAGAGTGTTATGCCTATGAACACTATTTGTCAAGGGTGTTACTATTTCAAAAGTTGAGGGCCACTGTTCTAATACTTTTCTAGAGGGCTTTTCACTTTTTTTTTTGCATTGTACTTTTTTTTTTTTAAATATATCTTTATTGATTTCAGAGAGAGGAAAGGAGAGGGGGGGAGAGAGAGAGAAACATCAATGATGACAGAGTCATTGATTGAGCCCACAACCCGGGCATGTGCCCTGACCAGGAATTGAACCCCAATCGCCTGGATCCTAGGTTGACGCTCAACCACTGAGCCACGCCTGGCCGGGCTGCACTGTACTCTTATCTTTTATAGTTTATACATGCCTCCAAGGATGTACCAGACCAAGATTCCATTTATATCCCATTGGTTAAAGTCCTACGTGATTTTTACTCTCTTGAAAAAAAAAGAGGCTTATCGGAACAGTATTAAGAGATGATCGTAACAAGAGGATTTTTTATTTTATTTTTTTAATTAAAAAAAAAAAATCTTTATTGATTTCAGAGAGAGGAAAGGAGAGAGAGAGAGATAGAGACAGAAACATCAATGGTGAGAGAGTCACTGATCGGCCGCCTCCTGCACCCCCCGACTGGGGATCGAGCCCACAACCCAGGAACGTGCTCTGACCGGGAATCGAACCCCAATCGCCTGGATCCTAGGTTGACACTCAACCACTGAGCCAGGCCCAGCCAGGCAAAAGAGGATTTTTTAAAAGGTAAACAATAATGTCCCCAAATTGGAATCAATGACTTTATTTTTAATTGAGTTTGTTGAGGTGACATTGGTTAACAAGACCATACAGGTTTCAAGTGTACAACTCAACGAAACATAATCTGCATGCTGCATCGTGCACCCATTACCCAAAGTTTCCTTCCGTACCCATTTATCCTACTTTTGTCCTCTTCCTCCCTGTCCTGTCCTTCACCTTTTCAAAGCCAAGGCCTCTTCTCAGTGGAGAAAGATTCAAGGCAAGCAGAGTGTGAATCACATCAGAATCTGTCTATGCCCTGGAGCAAGGTAACTGATAACTGAGTGATTTCAGCCTCTTCATCAATGGGGAGGGGTTGAGTGGAAAATAGGACACTTTCTTCTTCAGTATAAGATATTCAATAAATTTAAGTTCCCTTCCCCACTATTTAACAGTTACTACAGTACAGAAGAGAGTATCTGGAGTATCTCAGAAATGTAACAAAGAGTAAAAAAAATCACTCACCATCATTTAGGGCATCAATGGCAGCCACTTTTTTATCATTTGCCTGATCCATCATCTCCTCCGTTATCTAGGGGAAAATTAAAAGCAGACTTAGAATAGTAAAGAGAGCAAACAGAAAAAGAAAGCAATTTGGACTTTTTAGGAATGAGGTGGTCACAAACCCTACTTTTACTCATTTTTCTCTAGTCTCCAGAAAGCCAAAAGAATAATTATAATACCTGAATAAGAATTTATACATGCCCGGTAGGCATGGCTCAGCGGTTGAGCATCGACCTACGATCCAGGACATTGCTGTTGGATTCCCAGTTGGGGCATATGCCCAGGTTTTGGATTCGGCCCCCCCCCCC